TTCTACCTTACAAATCTGGCTAGACCCGAGGATGTACACTGGTACAGATAGGAACTGGAAACACAGTGAATCCAGGACAGATGAACCCTTCAGGACCTGTGGTGAGAGTGGCAATACTGAGAGGGTGGAGGTAGGGTGGGGTGGAAAGGGGGAACCTATTATAGGGATCTATATGTAACCTCCTCCTTGGGGGTCGGACAACAGAAAAGTGGGTGAAGGGAGACGTCGGAGAGTGTAAGATATGACAAAATAATAATTGATAAATTATCAAGAGTTATGAGGGAGGAGGGAGTGGGAAGGTAGGTGGGAAAAGGAGGAGCTGATAAGGGTTCAAGTAGAAAAAATGTTTTGAGAATGATGAGGGCAACAAATGTACAAATGTGCTTGACACAGTGGATGTATGTATGGATTGTGATAAGAATTGTACAAGCCCCCAATAAAATGATTTAAAAAGAAACAAAACTCACACTCCCTGCCATCGAGTTGATTCGATGGCTTCAATGACTGGTGATTTCAAACTGTTGACCTTGTGATTCAAAGCCCAACACATAACCCACTACTTCACCGGGGCTCCTGCCTATCAGGGGCAGACTGGATAAATAAACTGGTGTGTACACCCAAAAGAGTAATACACATTATTAAAGAATAATGATGAAACTGTCGTGACATGAATAGATTTGAAGGACCATATGCTGAGTGAGACCATTGTTGTAGTGGGGGGAAATCAGGGTTTTCATACCCAAAGAAACAGATCTTGAGGTTCTCTGGGTGGGATGGGAAAAGAAAGGTGGGGAAGTAATAGGCTAGAGGGTAGATAGGTGTCCACTTGGTAAAGAAGGAGATGGCAGTGGGAGGAGGGGGGAAGACATGATTATCTGATATGTAAACTTCTAATTCACAGTAAAAACTGTTTTTAAGATCAGTTGTCTACTTAAAGTGAGCTAGTTGGCGCTTTTTTCGGAGCCCTGTGGGTGCAGTAGGTTGCGTGGTGGGCAAAGTTAGACCCAACCAGCCGCTCGTGAGAGAAGTGAGGCAGGGTGCTTCTGTAAAGGTCTCCAGGTGAGCTAAGCGCACGGAACTGCTGGGTCAGACAGAATCGACTCAGCGGCCGGCGGCTGGGGTGGCAGAGCGTGCCTTGGTAACCTGGCGTGTGAGCACCCTGATTTCTGCACACGTCGCGGAGAAAGAAAACTGGTAGTCCCTCGTCTTGCCGTAGAAAACAAGGAAGCGCTTTCCATTGTGTTTCCCAGCGTTTTGTCTTTCTTTTGGGTATGTAATGGTGTCATTGAGCAAGAGCTTGAGTTGCTGCATGTGATAAGTGTTTATTCCTCTAACTGTGCCTGATAGCAGTAGCTTGAGAAGGCTGTCCAGTCAGTGTGACACTTTCATTTTGAAATTGTTTTCTTTGGAGGCCTATGTGCCTTACCTTGAATGGCTGACTTTGATCAAGAAGTTTAACTCGTGCTCACCAGAAAGGCTGAGAGTGGGTTCTTGATAAATTCACACTATCTTTTTAAACAAAAGGTCTGCTTCTAGCCCTTATTCGGTGGCAAATAATAGTCAGAATACTAAGACTAACAAATAAATAGGCAAACACACGAACGGAGAAAGTTGAGTTAGGTTGGGGGAGGAGACCTGGGGAAAGGCGAGTGAACACTGGAGGCACAGTTGTGCTTGTGGGTGTTGAAGCAGGCCTTGCAAGTCTCAGCTAGATCGGTCCTGTGATCTCCTGTCGGAGAAAGCGCAGGATGTCCTGAGTGGACTTGCAGGTTCCAGTGACGGTGTGACTTGTCATTAGACAGTCTGAGCATTAATTACTGTTTAGCTAGGAGGTGCTGGATGATTGTCTACAGACGGGACGAGAGCGTCCTTCGCTTGCTTCTACCATTCTATCCTCAACATCATACGGAAACCTGGCTGGGAAATACTTGAATCCTGAAGGACCGTGAGAGCTGATTGTTTAAGCTTGCATTTTTGTTACCCCGTCTTCCCGATCTCTTACGAAATGGTTCTTTTTCAGCTACTCCCTTCAGCAAGCTCAAGCATTTTATACCTTCCCGTTTCAACACATGCTGGCCGAGGCTCCTCTGATGGACACCGTGAGCCAACAGCCAATGCCGGCTGAAGTTCCACTCCCAGCCCCCGCCCAGGAGCTTGCGCAAGGTAACCTGCACCATGATCGTGGGGAAAGGAGCTATTGTCCTCCATAGTTTATGCAAGGAAGGGCTTCATGGTGAATTTCAGAGTGGGATAATAGAATTGATTTGTAAGACAAACCTTGGGTGAAATCCTGACAATCTGTTATGAGCCGTTTGGTCTTGGGCAAGTGGCTCAACCTCTCGGAGCATGGGGGTCTTCATCCTGCCACTGGGCCAGAAGCATCACTGGCTCTCACCTGAAGCACTGCAGCGCCTCTTAACTGTTCCCCTGGGTTTCCTCTGCCCTGGGCCTATTCTCACAACAGTGGAGGTGGCCCTGTTCATGGGTAGGTGAGTCAGATGGTGACACTCTGACCACCACTCTAGTGGCTGAGATCTGTATCAGAAAACCAAAAACCCGGGGCCACAGCCGTGCTGACCCACAGTGACCCTCCATAGAGTTTCTGCGACTGTAAATCTTTGCCCAAGCAGATGGCCTCATGTTTCTCCCCCAGTGTGGCTGGTGGGTTTGAACTGCCAACCTGTGGTTAGCTTCCCAGCACCAAACTCCTAGCACCACCAGAACTCCTAACGTCTGTACACAAACAAAAAGACAAACCCATAGCAACCCAATACAGGGTGGCAGAGAGTATAAATCTTTATGGAAACAGATAGCCTCATCTTCCACAGAGTTTGAGTTTGAACCATTGACTCTGCAGTTAGGAGCCCAAGGCCTAACCCACTCAGGTTGTACAGTAACCTCAGGACCCTATGTCCCTGCCCCCGTTGTACAGTAACCTCAGGACCCTATGTCCCTGCCCCTGTGCTCTCTGACCTCCTTTGCTGCCTCTCCACTCAGCAACTGGCTGTCCTGCCAGCTGTGCGGGCCACCCCGGTGTTCCTGGAGCACCTCAGGGCTGCTCTCACCATCGGACCCTGGCCCTGGCTACTGCCTCTCGGACTGTGCTCCCCTCTGATGTCCGCATGACTCCCCCCCCCTGCCTCCTTCCCACGAGGCCCACCTGACCGACTCCTCACGTGGTAGCACCCTTTCCTAGCATTTATCACTTTGTAGCTCCCTTGTGTTGCAAACAGTAGTGTGCTGACTCTCAGCGAAAGGGGGGTGGTTTGAGTCCATCCCA